CCATATTTCTTTCTGTACATTCAGCATTTATAAGATATTTAATAGCCCAAATAATAACACTGCTTTGACATTTGTCAGAATACAAATAAAAATAAACATAAATAAATTAGGAAATAAATTTACACCACAGAAATTAAATTAAACGAATGTAATTTTACAATCACCTTCAGGAATTTAATTGAAATTTCACCTTAAAAAAGTCACCGATTTTCCACTGTTCTTATAAGACAGACATTCACACTCGTATATAATTATTATGAATACTTAATACTTTTAGAAATTCGATGTCTAAACTGATAATATGTGAAGTGTCAAAATTGTATATTGTCAAATAACGTTTAAATGTACAATATTGGATTAGAAAACTTTTCATATGTTCTCTGTTATCTTTATACATAAAATATGATATAAATTCAGACAGAAATACATTTTCAGTTTAAAACTTTATATAAATGTGTAACTCAAAGACCATTTTATCGCTTTATGGATATTTTATTAAAAATATGCTACATTTAAGAGCTTAAAAAATGGGTTTTTTTTATTCCTGTAATAAATTCTCCTTCTAAATATTTGAAAACTTTTTTTCATACTTTCTTCGCGATCATTGAAAAGCTGATGTATTCTCATTCGGGATGATTATGCGTGTATGTATGATTATGTATGTTGTGGATTATACTAGAGTGTATCAAAAGAATATATAGATATTTATAATAAGATAAAAGAACAAAACAAATAATGAACAATAGAAGAAAAGGAAGCCAATAGTCAAACATAAAGGAATGTTTCTAGTTCTTCAAATTGAAGATTAGTTTCAATAATAATTAATAACTCAATTTTCATTTTATCTACAATTTAAAATTTTTATCATTATATTTAAATAATTTATTAAAGTTTTTCAGATTGATAATTGATATAATAATTCGAATAACTGATAATTCAAAGCGAATAAGAAATTTGAAAACTCAGATACAATAATGCACATTTCACATATTTCTTCTCCATCATGAAACATATTTATGCAGACGGCTTAACTCTAGTTTAAACTGAATGTTCTCAAGGGAGCAATTTCCATTTCTTTTTTATTCTTGCATTAATTATTATAGCTTTGGATCGTAAATTAAAATTTTGCACAGATTATATGTCCACGTTAATGGATATGTAAATATAATTGCTTATAAAAACCTTTTACAGGAAATCGTTGTTTAAATAAAAATTAGATAAGATAATGTCGACAATGAATTTAATAATAAATAACTCTGAACTTTATCTAAAATGATACCACTAGAACTACCAAATGTTAAAAATAATTTCAGAATGCTAAAATTATTGAAATGAATAAAAATCGTGAAAAGTTAGCACAAAATTAGAAAAATTTAAAAAGTTCTGTAAATATGTCTTTTGGAATATCTATGTTTTTTATTAACAAATTAAACCTTTCACATAAAAGTGAATACACGTTCCTATTGATTTTTTCTAAAAATTTCAAGTTGTACGTAAGGTCCTTAATTAATTAATTTTCTTTCATTAAAGCTTGCTTTAATTTAACCCAATGAAGACAGTATGTAGTAAAAAGTATACAGCCTGAATTACCCCATATTATTTTTGTAAAAAACAAAGATCCAGTAAAACAAAATATTACACTAATAAATAAAACAATAATTAATAACTAAATTAGTAATTAATTTTTTAATTAGAAAATTAATTAGTAAAATAAAAGTTGAATAACGTTCAGAAATGAAAGCCGGAAACTCAGGTCTCTAGTCTTCAAATAGTTAAGAATGATTCAAAGTTTTTAAGTTACTTAAATATCCAGGACATTAATTACTTGAAATTTTTCAGACTTTATAACAAAATGTATTAAGATTTTTCTACATCTATTTTAGAATTTCGTACACATTAATATACATTACAACCTAAAAGATAACATTAACATATATTTGTTAATCATAAGATTATACGGAATATTATACATTTACCAAATACGTTTATAATATAGAAATTAATTTATAACTATAACTGAATAGTCAATTCCACTAAAAAAATCCTCTTTTTTGATAATTCTATTTTAATTTTAGATTTTTGTGGGCTTTAAATGTATCTTGAAAAACAGAACATATCTTTAAGTAGGTAAGTTTCGAATTTTAATTTATGTAAATAGTGTCTTCATTAGCTTCCAGAAATATATATGTATATAATTCATGCTAAGTTCATCTTAAAATGTTTTAATTTATAATGTTCCTGACCCTTCAGCACTTCCGCGTAAATAATAAACTGTTTACTTAACCGCCTAACGGGACGTAATCGTAACTTTAACTCTGAAAAATTATGTAGCTAGCGTTTTTTCAAATGTTTCTTATATATTTTCCCACCAATCGCAAAACCCGTCCACGGAAGTCATGTGAATTTTGGATCTTCCTGTCTATGTTTCATATAAAAAGCCGAGATTTGCTGAAAAATGCACACTATAATTGTTTTTGTCAACATGTTCTGTTAATGTCTGCTGCTGCTTTGTCGCTTCTAATTCATGTTTCATAAAAGTATCTGCATGCAAGATAAAAATAGAATATCTGTTCCTAAAAACATGCTTCATCAATTTAAAAACATATCTCTCTTTACTCTCTTTTTAATTCAAGTTAATTTTTTAATTTAATTTTTTAATTTTTTTATTTCTATTCTTTTCATACTTTTGCTAAGTGCTACAGTTCAGCCATTCCCATGCTTTAAATATGCATTTGGGTCCAGAATCTGGCAATAACCTGTTTATTCTACTCAGATTTAGCGCGGGCTCTGCATTTTTGAATACAATTTTCAGGTAAATTATCTTTATCTTGTAATGGATTTAGATATTCTCTCCATTATTTTCAATAGGTTTTTGCTAAGTATTATTAACATCACCGCGGCGGGGGAGATTAATATATAAGAGCTGTCCTAAGTCAGCAATGTTTATAATACTGTAGCATCCAACTGTTATATTTTAAACCCTATTATATTTTTAATTTCTCATTTATTCCTCAATATCTGATTGTCTTGAGATTTCAATTTTTTTTTAGTTTTTTTTGTTGAGTGTTTATATCTCTTTGATAGAGAATTTCGACTATATATTTATGATTTTTCAAAGACCATAAAATTATAAGAGTAGTCTAACTTTCTATTCAGAAATTTCATATTAATTTACCATAAGAAAATAATATTCACACAGTACCGAAGCTCAATAATTTAATTACTTATAAAATTTTATACAAATATTTTTTTCAATGCTGATCTTCAATAAGGGATCAATATTTGTCACGAGAGAAAAGCCTCATGAAAAGCTTTGTAGTATAAATTATGGCAAATGAATACTCCAGACTTAATAATAAAAAGCATGCTTGTGTGTTTAAAAGAAAACTTTCAATTATTTTGTCGTTATTAAAAATACAATTGCAATACGTATTTTTTTTTCTTATTTTACAAAACTCTTCTAGATTAATAAATGCATAAAAGCCATCTAAATAATAACTATCATGTAATAGCTTACATCACAATAAATAATCCGAGCTTCCACTTTTTCAAGGAATAATATTAAATACAGAAAAAATTCGGATTTAAAATTTTGTGAAAAACTTCCAGTTTCTCATCAATTTAACATAACCAAGAAATAAAACATTACAGAGCTTTTGATAATTTTGTTTAGTGCAGGGCTTTTGAAAAAGAGATTTTTGTTAAAAAATTTCACTCTTACAAATTGAACTTTTGTTATACATGGATTGTAGGTTTATAAACAAGAAAAAGACACACACACACACACACACACATAAGTTTAAACGAGAAACAGTTTTTTAAATATTTCATACGAATGGAATATTTTATTTTAGGATATATTTTTATAAAATGTTTTGTTAAGTAGTATTTTAAACACATGCTTGTTAACCCTATACTATTAAAAAAAGCTAACTTTAGAGTTTCCTTACTTTTATTGAAATAGAATATTATTAATTTCTATAATAAAAAGAAAAATTTAACTATCATTTTGAAGATAATTAAATTTTAGTCAAAACTTTCAACACCTCAAAAATGATTCAAGTATTCAGATATAGAGAGAGAGAGTTTCAATAAACATATTTAGATCATATACTGATTAGCATAAAGATTTATGCATGAAAGGAAAATTGCGTGACATAATATTAATATTGATATAGAAATATTTTACATACTCTGTAAATATATTCTTAAAGAAAAACTTTCAAATAACCTAAATATTTTCTCTTTCTTTAAAAAAATTATTACATGTATTTATATTTAAAAATATAATCTCCCCAGAACTTATCCTGCTAATTTCAAAAGTATTCTCTCTTAACTTTTTATTTAAAAAATTAAATGTATTAAATGTAAAGCAAATGTCTCTCCAGATACATATGGATTTTATAATAAATTATGATCAGCTATAGAATTAAAGTTGCGATCTTTGAGAAAGTTATAATTAAGATAATCTGGACGATTAATAGTTAGAGTTTACAAAATCAAATTTAAAATATTTAATAATTTTATTTGTTTTAAAAAACCATTGAACTTTACGAACGCTTTTGTTCTTTTTTTCAAAAGCGAATTAAATGAGAGAAATCTGAAATAAGATAAGTTTCATGTTACAAATTCACCGCCTTACTCTTTAAAACTGGATTACTTTTTGAGAACGCATAAAATAAAGTTTAACACATGAAATAGCATTTGTTCTTGAGAAAATTCAAACATGTTTAGTGTAGTAAGGTAGTCTTGTTTTACCAATACAAAAGAAACAAGTAATATTTAAAAAAAATAAAAAAATAAAGCCAATTCCTACATAGGTCAACAAAGAAAAATTTTATTTTAGTTACTATTGCAATTTTTCTTTTTCCTTTCTATATAGGGTGTTGGAATATTTTTGCTTGTTTGTGTGTGTGTTACTGTGTTTATTCATTAATTAAATTTAATAATTCTAATGAAATAGTATATTAAGAAAGGAACCACATTCCTAGAAATTAGGCCATCCCAGATGGGATTCGAACTCACGAACTTTGGATTAGAAGTCCAATACGCTATCACTGCGCTACAGGGACACAACTAACAACTCTCCTTTCTATATATGCTGTTGGACTATTATTTTTGTTTGTTACGATTTATTCCTTTTTAATTTGATTAATGATTTAACATTTGAAAAAACTGTATTCACATCAAGTGTCCTCCACTACGAGTTTAAAAAATGTATTTGAACTTGAATGGATGGATAGAAAGTATTTTATGAACGATTGAAATTTTTTGAAAAAAAAAACAAGTTATGTATACATAAATAAATAAATATATTGAGAGAGAGTGAACTAATAGTAGGAATTGAAAAAATAAGTGAGAAGATATTTGATTTTATTCAATTTCTGTTTTTTGTTCATAAAAAAAGCAATAAATCCCCCCCCCTTCCTTAAAAATATTTCTAACATTCTTATTTTACTATATTTTAACCAAAACAGAAAAGCAAATGAAATCAAGATAATTAAACTGAGAAAAAACTGTTCATTTTTTCGAAAGAATTATTTAAGTTCAGTGCTTAGCACTAAAAAACAAATATTATCTTTAATTCCAGAACAAAAGGGGTACATCCATTCCAGAGCGTTGACTTTACCAAGTCATTTGTCGCTCAGAGAACAATATATTTCGATGCTCAATTTAAACATCCACGAATCGCATTCATAATCATCTGATTGACAATCTCTGTTCTAAAGTTTCTCAACCCCCATTCCAATCGAACTCAAGCTTTCCAATAGAACAGTATGAAAAGACAGAGTTCGTCATGCTATTCAGAGCCTAAATCAAGGTTTGTTTTAAAGTACCGAATGAAAACCGTGTGTTCCATCATTACATTATATTAAAGATATTTATCTGTCCCTTATTTGACAAAGTACTTTAGTCCGTTGTTCTTGCAAGGAGTCCATTATTTTCTAACTATACGCAAGCGTTCGAACTCCAGTCTTCTCTTAACTGGAGTAAATATGGGTGTGTACCCGTATGCGCCCCAACTCATGCGAAGGTGAGGGGGTGGCAATGGAACGAGGGAAAAGAGGAGGCAGAGACAGTTGGCATGTGGACTTGAAAGCGATATTCTACGGGGTCTCTGGGAGCAGAGGATGCGGTTGCTATGGAAACCCTTCCCTCACCGTACCAACCATTTTTCTCCTACATCAGATGAGGTGGAAGGCAGAAAACAACGACATTGGGGGTGTAGTCTGTGTAGCCCTATGGCAGTTTCAGGTCTCCGTAGCGAATGATAAGTATCCAGTTCTCTAAGAAAGTTTTGCTGGAATGCCATAATTAAAGGTTAAAAAGGCGTGAGGATAGTGATGTGATTAGTGGAACAAACTTTTAATCTTTGGAATATATTTTTATTCTCTAGAGATATTAATTGTCTCGGTTTTCTGGAGACCTTCAAAATGTTAAATGTAAATTAGAAAATGGGCAACATTAAAATGTTCCGAATTGCAAATATAGTACTGAATATTGTGATCTGCGATAATCTGAATAATAATTTTTCAATTGCATTTTTGAAAATCAAATACGGTATTTTTTTCTGTAGAAGAGTGGGATAAAGAAGAACTCAATTTCAAAAGAAACTACGCAGCACTTTTAACTAATTTTATAATAATTGGTTTGACCATATCTCACAAGAATGTAAAAACTATATTCTCTTTAAAAAGAAACACGAAAAAAGATATTTTAAATCTAAATGCATTCTACTTTAATTTAAATACGCGGATAACTACTTAAATAATGTTATACATGGTATAAATATTCTTAAATCTTATATGCATTTCTACATAAAAACATACAAATAAAGCGAAACAATCACAAAAATTATATTTCACTGAGTTGCATGAGAAGTACTATCTATATTATCTTTCTCTGATTCTACTTCCATAAAATAACAACACAATCTATAAATAAAGTATTATTAACTTCAAAAAATCTTCTAGACATATCTTAGTCTAACCAAATTTGAATTTTCCGCAAACTTTTATTTCATCTCAGCTATAATTTTATCAATCTGAAACCATCGCATAAAAGCCTGCACATGTTACGAAAATTAAAGTTTTATCTATTAAGTTTTATCTATCTAAAGTTTTATCTATTATTATTATTTTATCTATTTTATTTATTTTTAAAGTTTACTCTATTGTATCTGATTTATGTTGTAAAAGTTATAAAGTTTATTTTTTAAAGTATTTATGTGCAAAGCTCTATTTTTCGTACCTAACCCAAAATTTGAGGAAAATGATTAAAAGCTTTCGGATGAATTTTTTAGAGCAGAGGTTCTTAAATTCTTCGAGGTGGTGACCCCAATTTTTATACTCGCATTTTGCGTACCCCCATAAGAATTGTACAAAGTTTACACAGAAATGGGGATTTCTTTATATGTGTTTTATTTGTAGTGTATTATTGTGTTTTGTAGTAATAAACATCCGCAATAAGTTTTTACTTTGAATATAACGATATAGAACTTTAATTAAGTTACAAAATAAAAACAATGTACATACGATAAATTACGAATCAATTATAATCTGTTTATTTATAATCCTTTTGAGTTCATTTCTGAGACCAACCTCATTTATTAACAACGGTATGTGCAAGATTTAAGTATCAATGTGAAGAATGGGCTTGGTTATTTTTAATTATGTTGCTGAATCTTAGATACATATTTAGGATAATATGCATGAAAAATCTTAAAATTTTTGATGACCAAAGCTTTTAATGACTCGACCTTTGATTTAAGAAACATTGTTTTAGAGCAGTACTTCCTAAAATGGTCCTTAAGGACCTGTTACCGTTCCAAATCACCAATACTGTTCAGAAGGTCCGTGAAAAATTAATAATAAAATAAAAATAAAATATCCATTTTTACTTTGAGGGAAATTTAAATAAATAAAAATAATTCACTCTTTTGGAGAGAGATATTACTGACTGGGTGTTGAACCCTTTTGCGCGAGAACAAACTCATATCTCAAACACAGATGAATCATACTAATATATGAACATCTTACTGAAATATCCTTAAATGAGGGACTTAAGCCAATGTTTGAACAAGAATACCAAAATTTTTGTTTCAAAAACAGATCCCAATTTTATATATTGCATTATGGGTTATTGCACAGAAGTTGTTGATTTCTTTCTCGTCTTCCAATTTGGTATAACGTGGTTTCAGTTCCACTATAAACCTCCTCACAAAAACAAAACAAAACAAAAAAGAAACCGACTAAAATTTAGTGCTCTTGGGAATTTTGAGGTTGCTACTCACAAACATTGAGACGGGCATAAATACACTCATAATAACGTCAAGTACATCCAAGTCATTGATTTTTTTAAAATTTTATTTTAAATAAAAGTTATAATTTCAATAAATAATTCTTCAACAAAATGTTTTTTTTTTTAAATTTGTGATTATTTTTTATATTATGCATGTAGCTTTTTTACTTGGAAAAGTTTTGGCTATAAAAAGGGGTCCAAGGGGGAGTTATAACTATAAAAAGGGGTCCATGGGCGAATTATTCCTATAAAAAGGGATCCATGGGTTAAAAAAGTTTGGAAACCACTGTTTTAGAGCAACTTAAGCTCTGTTTTATAAATCATTTAATTAATGCGTATTATTACAAATTTTATGCTTAAAAGTCGGAAAATAACTTCAGAGTAGAATAATTATAAGTAAGAGAATAAATAAGCATTATGTCTTATTTAATCGAGTAAAAGAAATTGTGTCAAATGCTCATGAATGCAAAAAGTATTACCATATTTATTCAACTGAAAGTGGTATCAAGTACGCTTGCTTGACGGGATTGATACAAGTGCACTTAGGAAAAACTGGAAAAACTTTCGATACTGAATTTAAAACTTGAAAAGGTTGTAAAAGCAGGAAATAAAAGAAATAAATGAAACCCTCTCTCTGTTAAAGGAATGATTTTTAAGTTATAAATATCCCCAGATTTCTTAGAATGAGCAAATAAAGTAATAGGTATTTCTGAAGAACATAAAGCTGAACTCAGTTCAAGTCTTTCCTGACTTTTTTGCAAAGACTACTTGTGGTCACTCGGTCTATCTTTTGTTCTTTAAAAACTCTCCTCTTTGCTTTGCTATGGAGCATTTTATTGCGCTTTTAAGGAGTACTTACGCTTTCTTACATGAATTCTAACCTTGAAATACTCCCATTTGAAATGTTGTTAACGTTTTTCTTTTGTGAGGTTTGAATGGAAAATTTCAAGTGAAAGTTTAAATTTTAAAGCAAATGATAGTATTCTTATCTCTGACTTTAACATGAAGCACAATGGCTCAAAGGCAATGCAATTACATAAAAGTAGGCAATTTTTGTAGTAATTTGTAAGGCTTGAAATACATCTCTTTGAGAAAAGCGCTTCTGGTTTCTTTGCTTAAAGTAAAATGTCAATAAGGATAACAAAGATT